CAAGACGGTCTCATTTCCGAAACATGGCATTGCTACTCACAGCTGCGAACGCGAAACGAGGACACATCTGTTAGCCCCAGCGCCTGTCGGACCGCATAGCCAGGCATATCTAGGGGCCACGGTAGATGGCATATGGATCAGACCTATCGGATTGAACCTAACGGACTCGACCCGGGCTTACAAAAAGGAACGTTGATTGGGTCCTCTTTGATTTCTTAGCCGTCAATATGTGCGTTGCCATATTGTTGATTGCCGCGGAACCGTATATGCCTATGTCGTCGCGTTCAAAGTCCAGTTCTTGCTTCGCCTGGGCATCGCTATCACCTCTGTTGAATGCCACTCCCAGTTCGCTGGGAAGTTCGTAGCTTAGCGGATGCGGGGCAGTTTATTTGATTCCGTTCACGGTTCTCATATCCCATATGCAGGACATGATTGCAGAAGTGGCTTTGGAACACCTTATCTTGGATCATCCATTCCGGTATATCGTCCTCGATGGACTCGAAAACTTAAAGAAAACTGACGTAGAGCGAGCGCGACCGTTGCCACTGGAAAAATCACTGCGGTCTCCATGGATTGGTCCGCGTCAGCATCCTTGTTCGACTAGCTCCACAGCCTTAACAAGCATTGGACAAATTTGCGGATGTAGTCGACGTCAGGGGCGCAAGTGATTTGGACATCAATGCTACGCTCTGCCTCAAGTTCGGCATCCACGCCCGGCGTAATATGGCATGTTCCATTTCCAGTAGTGGTAGACACACTCTCCGGGGTTCTAAACCCCCAAGCATTGGATGTGAACATGAAAAGTCCATCACCGAGGACACTAGTCACGCAACCCTGGTTGACACTGTCTTGGATGCGTTGCTCAGGCCACATTTGCACTGCACTACCAGCGCAACGGTTATTTTACATCCACGGCGTGAGAATGAGTGTACGGTATCTGCTCTAGTCGCCCTTCTTGGACCCGAAGGATCGAATGGCTTGTATCCTGGCTTGTCGAGTAGTGTAATCCTGGATAAAGATGGAGCGCGAGGCAGGTGGGAAGATGGCAATCTCCTCATAACAGGTGCGGTTGGGTACTTATTGTCCTCATTACTTTGTTGAGCACCGGCCGTGGTCAAGGAATTCTAGAGCTCGAGCTTCAGCTGTCGTCCCCTATCCAACTTCGAATATGTTGGATTCCCCTATGGCTAGCGGTCTGCCATCACACGACATGATTCAATCCTCCAGCCCGAGAGTTGTGCGTTCGAGCTCTTTCTAGAGACACCACTTTTATGCCTACACCTAGCACAAATGGCTCTCTCTAATCGTGTCTTTACACTTTTTTGACAATTGGCGAGCATTGCAGGCGTCTGTCATATCTTCCTGCTCTTCGGTATGGCTAAAATCATCCTCAAAAGTCGTACAAGTTGAAATGTAGGATTGGCTCCTGGTGCAGGATTGCTGGCGCGTCTGCAATGTCCTGCTCGTTGAGCCCTGAGTTGTTTCGATCCAATCGGCGCGGGTTAAGGACTTGCTGTGTCGCTGGCTGAGTAGGTTCATCTTTGCCCGCATGCTTTAGCTGGTTCGAGCGTAGGCTATGGAGCTGGTGGGATCATGGGATTTGAGCGCTGCAAACTCTCATCAATCCGAAAATAAGGCTAGCCAACCTGTGCATTCCTTCTTCCAGATGCAATACATGAATTTATTCAGGTTGGGGTCAGCCCAACGATGATCCACCCCTCCTCGCCGACGAAATTGATAAGGCAGCCGCTGTATTCATGGAAACTACGAATCGTCTCCACACTCGTTATCATTCAATCCTTCCGTAATCCGACCGTTTGGGATACCCTCTGGTGGGACCACGGAAGCGGTTTGGCCCCAAGGCAGTTTTTTGAGGCTATCGTGGACGAGTTACATGTATCTCAGCTCGTCTCGAAATTTTTGCAGAGGTTGTCGCTATAGGATCGAAATACGTGGCCCTAGCTTCCTCTGTCGACTTCACTCTTTCATGGATGTTGCGCTGTGGTCGAGGCTACAACTGATAGTGCGCGCCGCATTCTATGCATCCGCCCGCTATCACCGGAATTGTCTGCGGAATGTCTTAATGGTCTCGGAACCATGATTTTATTCGATCTGGACCTCTCTGGTTAAACCTTTTCGGCACTCTCCCGATTCTTGTCCACGCTGGCGCTGACTCTTGGTCTCTGAAAGCATGCGCGGAGTTGACACGGGAGCGACTCACATACTGGTTGGAATTGGGAAGATCCGTCATCACCGCAATCAACCATGACGAACGATATGAATGACGCTGTAGTACTCCAGGGCCACTTAAAATGGCGTTGTTTGTTTCCCATCATCCGCCAAAGATTGCGTCACAGCAAACTCAGGTCGTACCTACAGGATGTTCGAACGACAAAGAAACCGAAGAAGTGTGTGAGCTTTGGGTGTGAGCCTGGTCTTCTGTTGGAGTCAGTCCCCCCGCAGCACCTGCCGTCTTCAGGATCAAGGGTTGCCTATCGATGGTGGATTTCGCGCCGACTTGACGAAGTAATCTCGCCTGCGTGCAAAGAAAGGCTCTATCAAACGGAGGTGCGAGAGCCTTCTTGAAGCGGTCGCCTATCGCCTTGGATGCAGAAAGGAGCATTGTGCATGCCGACAGAGAGCTGGAGGTCGCCACACGTGTAACGATTGCACCTCCTCTACGATGATGTTGTTAGCCCTCTGGAGTGTTCATTGGATAACTAGAGGCAGATCGCTTGCGGCGAAGGCGACCTCATAGCCATCATCAGCCGTTGTGTGCGCATCATAAATCTCCGCGCGGAAGGTCTGATGTATCTTCGAGCCTAGCTGATGGTCGGCTGTGTCAACAGAAGCAGTCCAATCAACAAGATTTCGGCGGCGGCGTTGTACACGCTGAACTAGCTGCGATAAGCACTATGCTAGGAGAGCGGGGCATCTCTCACATTCTGAGGCCAGCGTAGAGTGTCTCGCCGTCGCGCGTGAGGATGGGCGTCCCGGCGTTGGAAATGTCGCCCCAGAGGACGCCCACCCAGCCCGAAGTAGAAGCCGCCACCGTTGCCAGCGGGCAGAGAGGATATCAAACGTACCTCAATACCTGTGAAAACCCTTGCCGCCCCCTAGCACGGTCGGGTTATTACACAGCCATGTCGTCGCGGTCGAATCCGATCGCTGCGGGCATGGCGGAGATGGTGGGGGTTGTTGGGCGATGTCTCTATGGAGATGCTGTACCCTGCCGCAACAGGGAGCCGCTTGCTACTGCTAGAGAGGATGCTCAATCGTAACTTGATGATTGCGACGGCCACAGTTCCCGATTCCGCACCGCTCGAGGTAGCGTGGAGCCCTTGCCGTCTTCCATGTCGACCAGTGGGTGCTGTTTGTGCGGAGGGGCTGAAGCAGCAGCTCCTCTCTGGCAGGAAGAAAGGGCGTATCTTGCTGTTTGAGAGAAATTCCTGTCTCTCTCGCGTCTCCTGAAGTAGCTCTGGTAGTCGTGCCGTCTCCAAGAGGCTAGGTCTAGCCTGCATTGCATGGGACCTCCGCTGCGATGAAGAACAGCAAACCGGGCCTAGAATACAAGTTAGCACGACGTTTGAGCCTCTGTCGTGGCTCTCAAAATTGCCCCGATCAAGCTTGCCATCGCGGAGGGGGTGGTGTTCGGGGCTAGATGGATGAGGCGGGTGAGAGAATCGAAGAGTCAACACCACGGCGAACATCGCGAGACGGCGCACGGGCCATCCAACCCCATCGATCTGTCCTGTCTGCTCGACCAGCATCGGGTGCGGTACGGAATAGGCCGTGGGTCTTCGTATTCGTAATATATGAAGGGGAACACTTTGCGCGATGTGAAAATAAGCACATAGAGCACATCTGGCGTCAGAGCTAGGAGTGTGCGATGTCTCCTACCTTAACAGGCTACGAGGATTCCGCATTCAGCACAAATGATTTGCCATTTGTCTGAAAAGGCTCTCTTCTGCCGCACATCTTTGCAGCACCAGTTAGCTGTTTCAGAGGAGTTGTACAGAAGATTTTGCATTTCCCAGCCTATTGCCCGTTCTATGATGCTATCAATCATCGACCAACCTCATTCGGCCTATCTCAACTGCAGCAAACCGCTAAAATATGCACCGACGCTGCTGGAAAGAGCTTTTGATCCCTCACAAATGTGATCTCTTTTGGGGATCTACGATGTTTAGGGGCCAGCATTGTCATGACACATATGCGATCAAGACTGCATACGCCACTCTTCTACGGAAATTCTCAGGAAATTGTCGCCCCTGATATCGTGGTATTCACAGCTTAGACGTGCTCGACAACATCAGAAGTCGGCATCCTGATCAGAAGCCTTTCAGTCTACCCGAAGCTTTGGTGTCTGATATAAATTTTCCTTTACACAACCTCTAAATTCAGATCGAAAGGGCTATAGGAGTAGAAACCGATGGACCTACTAGTAGTAGGCCATACAATACCTGCACCCCGAGCTTCGTCGACGTCCGTTTTCATCAACTTTAACGGACAGCCTGCAATTGACTTTATGGCGGTCGGAAACGTATGCTGCAAAGGGGGACTCAGCATCGACACTGAAGTCCTATGCAACATCTTTGGCGTACACTTCATTTCTCGGGATCATTTTTCAACCTCCAAACGAGTGCCTCAATTCTCCATTTTAATTTCGAATCTTAAGACCGGGCCGTGTAACAACTTAAAAATCAATCTCCTTTCGAGAACAGAAGTAGTCTACTCAGGTCTACGTATCAGTCTTATTGGGTCACATGTATCGTTGATACCGTAAGCACATGGCCTCCCATTAAACTTTAAGTGTTTTCCCTGGATTAGCGAAAAAGGCGGATTTGCTCACTTCGGAATTTCATTCGAGCGGTCGCCATTACATCTGTATCAGCGAGCAAGATCAATCGACGCTTCCCAGCCAAAAGATCTTGACATTGCAGTCATGAATCTCGACCTGTTCTTCCAAGATAATTCCAGTGTCTATCTGCATTTATTCCGGTGGGATGTTCGAGTGGTAGGAGGCTCGATTCGGCAGGCCTCCATGATAATTCTCGGACGGTCGTTGGTTCAATTCCAACTCCCGTCTCTCAAAACTCCTACGCATGCTCTTGCTCAATGGCTTTGGTTTCCTGCGCTTTTTGTTACTACATCTGTCCCCCCTGCATTTCTATCCTTGTTGTTCCCAAGTCCTCTCCAATATGCAATCATCGTCATATTCCTCCGCTTGCCATTTTGCATTCTATATTCCTTCCTTTCCAAATCTGCAAAGTTCTATTGTTGCGCATTGCCACTCATCACAACCATGCTTACCAAGTTATACCTAACGCTTCATTGCGTTGCCCTTCTCAATCTTTTCTGTTCAACAATTCTGAAAGCCACTTCTTTCTACTCCTTCCCTGCGTTTGTCTAGTCAGTCCACGTCTCCCCAGTCATCACCTCTCTTCTCTTTCCGTCACCGATGGTGCTCCGGGTATTATTTTTCTGTTATTTTTACTCTACTTGTTTTATCGCCGTTGTTCTCTTCCATTCGCACCATGCCTAGCCTGTCAAGTCGTTCATTTTCTCCGTCATCAATGGTGCTCCGGGTAATATCTCCCCTATTTTCCTGCTCTAAACCTTCGGTCGATGTTCCCACCCCCTGTTTACCCTGCTCTAAATCGTTTGTCGAATGTCACTTGCTGCCTCCGTCACCAATGGTGCTCCGAGTAAAATCTTTCCGATCTTGTAGCTCAAACCCTCAGCACGACTACCTATCTTGAAGCTCCATCTGTATATCCCCGTCTTCAATTGCAACTCTCTAAGTTAGGCGCTGTCTCTTTCATTCCTCCCTTCATCATTCATTACCCGCGTAACACTCCATTCTTTCATAGTAGGTTTTCACTACACGTCTCACCTGCTGCTTACTCGCCTGTCCCATTTACCTTATTCTTCAAATTCCTCGTCAGTTTATCAGTGATGCTGCTCCGAGTAGTATCTATTATCCTCTTTGCACGTACCCTCATGTCACAGTTTCTCTCATTCTAAATCTGCAATTGAACCCCATATTATTTGCGTTCATTTCTTTCCAAATCCCGCATCTCCACTATATCATTCATGGCGACTTCTTACACATCCCCCTGTTGGCCAACGCCCATGGCGGTCCGAGTATTCTATTTTTCTTTTACTGTCTCTCTACATCCTGACCTATCTCGTTGTTCAGCCCCCTCCCCAAAACTATAATATTCATCAAAATATCCGTCACCATTGGTGCTCCGAGTAGTATACTTTCCAGCTTTACTTTATGTTCTCTTCGACCTAGGTTCTCCTTTCTTCCTATTCGTCACACTAAGGTTAGACATGTCATTGGCTGCCAGAGTCCATGTGTATATTCCCCCTCTTTCCAGTCTCAATGGCACTCTGAGTCACATCTTTCCGTCCTTCAACATCTGATCCTTTGTCCTTTGTCAAACGCGAACCTTTTCCATTCCCTTTATAATTTTCTACCCCCCGTCACCAATGGTGCTCCATGCACTATCAGGTCTTGTTCATTCCCAACCGATTCTTGTATTTGGCAAACCATCACCGATCAGAGGTGCCTTCATATTCTCCACCCCTAAACCTGTTGTTCCCAAGTGTCAGAACTGCACACACCCCGATCTTTTCAACAATAATATTCTCCCTCTTCCCTAATGTTGCATCCGCCACCTAATTTTAATTCACATGTTCACCCTCTCGTTCTTTATCTTATATCTCTTTCCATCACATGATCTTGCAATTTATCACCATCGAGTCATCCTTGTTACTGTCTTCTTCTACGCTTTCTTCTTGCACTATGTCCTGCGTTTTAGTACCTTTTAATTTATTTCCAGTCCTTTCCTTTGCTCTACACCATCAGTAACATTCATTCCCTGTCGTCCTCTTACCTTCAGTCCACCACTTCTCTCCTCTCGGTCATTGTCGGTAGTATTCCTTGTACACTTCGTCACCGATGGTGCTCCGAGTAATATCATTCCCCAAGTTCCGTTTGTGTATTTCGATCTCACGCATCCTAACCATCCCTTCACGTGTGATCCCCTACAGTACTACCAGCCGAATCGTGGTCCTTGCACGTTCTTCTTAACTCACTTACTATCATCTGAGTTGAGTTTTCACACCTGTCTGCGTTTTATCCCTTTTACTGCCGTTTGTTCTCTAGGCATTCATTATATTATCTGTATTCTCTCTTTGACCCTTTCAATACATCCGACCCCTACCGTTTTCAATCTTCATCGTTATCACAAAAATTCTCAGTATCACGTCTGTTCTTCTCAATCCGTCATCTTGCATTCTCTTATTTTATTTTCTATATGACCCTCCATCCAACTTCCGGTCCACCTTCGACACTTCCTTACAACCCTTATCAATTTCCTCAATCTCTATCATCTCAAAATTATTTTCGTTGAGGCACAGTGGATATTTTTTTCCTTTTCTTTTTCTTATAATTGCTCACGGGTAAGCGTTATTTCACATAGGATGTGTTTATGGCTGCTATAACGTAACTTTCACACTTTTACCGAATTCTGGATTTCCTCCGTGGACAAGGTCCCCCCAACTATGGTCAAGTACTGGAACAGGAGGGCGAGACCAGATCGAACCTTTGGAACAAAGATAAAACCGGATCAGATCTCCCGCATACAACGATTATATTCCTCTAGGCTCATTGCATCCTGTGAGGTTCGTCGATTTCGAGACCCGTTGGCTCCTCTCTGGTATTTCACGTTGCCTGGATCTCATACTGTGTTGCCTTCCCGTAACTAGCTATCTTGTTAAGGGAGCCCATAGCTCTTAGCGTACACTCGGTGTCGGCGAAATGTAAAAACAATGCAATAAAAACAACAAACCATACTGCTCGGGGTTGAAAACGAACTCTTGACCAGCAAAAAAAAAGGGTTTAGATATGAGAGTCTTACTCCCTGCAATGCGTAGGTCCTCTAGAAGCAATTAGTAGGCTGTTCTAGCGGAGATGACGTACTGGGTATAGAGACGGTACCCATACCACTGCACTGCCCGCAGTGGCGAGGTGGCCACTGTTTTCCGATTACCTCTGGGTGATTGAAAACTGTGGACTATGAAATATATATAGAGGAGTCAAAAAGAGTTGCAATTAGGAATGCAGCTTGCTGGACTGCAAGTGAGAGCCAGGTGGCTGGAGATAACGCACGCCAATTTCACTAGTTTGCCCCAAGATACTACGAGTGGGCAGCGCTACTAGACAGTCAATGCTAGTGTGAAGACCGCGGGGACCATCAATGTCCGTCAGGCCAAGTATGCAACATTACACTACCCACGGCGAATCCCAGCTCTCAGCTGCTCGACCTTGAGCTTCTCCTTGAGGTGAATTTCTCCCCCCGTCTCATCACTATGCGGGTGCAGCGCAGGCGTTGGACCTCGGGAACCTCAGTCAGAGATAGCCTGTGGCTCCTCTCGACTATTCAGATACGCTCAAATTCGCCTCCAAACGACAAATCTCTACTATTACATCCCAACATTAGCCTGCCTTCAGCGCCTATAAGGTGCTCTGCTGTGGTGTACCTCTTTCAAGGCCGCCCGTCTTCGAACCTCCGCCCTCCAGCCTCCGAGCGATAAACCCACGGTACAGACAACATCACATTCTACACCAAAGGATACCTCAAAACCTTTTTCCTCCTCTAAGCTCTCTGCCTTTGAGTTTGCTTCCGCAGAGCCTACACAGCAACGCAGTTAATAAGATCTGCGTCCCCAGAGCTATGCTCGAGTGTGGTATATTACCTGGGCACTTGGTCGAAAGGTTCATCTACGCAGTTGTATATTCAAACTGTCAATATTAGATTGTGGGCTCGCAGAGCGGACAGTCTTGAAGATGAGACATTTTGGAGAATTGGGGTCAAGAGCACTCGGTCTCGTATACGGAACTGAGGGCATGGACGGGCATGAGTTGATGAATCACGACATGTGGGGAGAAACGCCAAAAAAGGCACATGTAGGATGCTGAGATCGAATGCGGCATTCTGTTCTTTCTGTTCATCGGGCGCGGCGCGGCGTGGTGCTTCATCTTCTTCCGCCTCAACGCCTTCGAATCATGCATACCAACCTACTCTTTCTATCCATCAGACGCGACATAGCACCGTTCGCCTTATTTCCAGATTGCTCCATACAGACCACATGCTTTCTGAAGCTCCCGATCCGACTTTCGACCGCCCGACATCCTCCACGCTCTCTTCGACGATAGAATGAGCCATACGTATTCGGTGGTGCGGCTGTCGCAATTCAACAATGACATGAGCTACAAGAAGGGGGAGAAATATTGTAATTCTTATTCAAGCAGACTGCGTTGCGCGTTTGAATCCCGGTGTGAGAGCGCTGGGAAATGTCGGTCGTATCAGCCATGCTTCATTATGCTCGGATAGGCGCACCACCCCACCCTTGGTCAGCTCACTACCAAAAGCCAGACAACAAAATACCTCCGAAAACTGAAATACCTTGCGAGTGCCTTGCCCTTTCACATCAACTGACACGCTGGTCTTCTGTAGCCGAAGCACAACTCCATTTTCTGTTTTAATTGTAATCTCGTCGTTACGATTAAAGCACCCATCTCTGCGACTAGTGTATGGAAAGGTTATGCTTGCTTTTCTATCACCACGACCCAAGTCTCTCGAATGTGGTCTTGTGTGTGCTTTGTGAAATATATGGGTGGAGGATTTTCGTCGCCTGACTATTACTCTGGACAGAGATGCGGGGCGTGCGTTATTTGAGGCTGCTGAGCCTTTGCCAAAATTGTTCGAGCAGTTCCTCCAGGCGGTCGGAAAAGAGGAGGTGCGGAGTTCGGCTTAAAACTGCTTGTGTTGGTGGCAGAAGGTTTGGAAGATAGTCGGGAAGGGTGGTCTTATGTTCCTGAGTGATCAGCTTCTTGCAGATTTCTGGTCTCGTCATGTCCAAAGGGGGATGTCGTAGATATAATCATACGCATCAGCAGACGCAATGGTGTCACCGTGTGCCTAGGATGGCGTAGCGAAACCTGGCAAGTGGACCAAGCGGTCAAAGTGTAGCGTCCGATGGACTGCTTGTATTGTCGAAGCCTTGCTGGAAGAC